TGGGTGGCTCAGTGGGTTAAGCTGCTGCCTTCAGCTCAGGTCATGATCTCAGGGTCCTGGGATCGAGTCCCGCATCGGGCTCTCTGCTCAGCAGGGAGCCTGCTTCCCTCTCTCTCTGCCTGCCTCTCTGTCTACTTGTGATCTCTCTCTGTCAAATAAATAAATAAAATCTTAAAAAAAAAAATAAATAAAGGCTGGGCTTTAAGAAAGCAGACCATCTTACATGAAGCCAATAGTCCTGCCCCCAAAGCTCATTCATTCCTCCAAGCTGTATTTATTGAGCACCTCTTCTGAGTATTCTGCTTGATGGATGGACGGGGAATTCAAGAAATCTGGTCCATTATCACTGGCCTCTGAAAGCTGGCTATCTGATGGGACATGAATGAGACATAAACACAAATCATTTGAGATGGGGAGATAGCCAGTACTATGCGAATGGTACAAAAAATAAGTAAAATGCGCTTGTACGGGGAAGAGGCCATTTCGGAGAACAGAAAAAGAACAGAAAAGAAAGAACAGAAAATTTAAAAGAAAAAAGAAAAAAACCCAACCTTTATGGACCAGAGCACACTTGAACTGGGCTTGTAAAAATGACCTGGCTCTTGGTAGACACAGTGGACGAAAATCGCCGGAGTAGAAGCTCAAAGAGGACGGCAAAACGCAGATTCCAAAAACAGCAAACGGACCAGCTTGGCCCTCATGGGAAATATAGCTAAAAGTCAGCATATGCGAGGTTTACTGTGGGAGACAAAGTAACCTGCCATGCTTTATTCTTTGGCTCCCTGTTATCTGCTACAGAATAAGCAGTTCCTTATTCTGCTCTTCAAGGGCGGCCATGATCATTACCTTTTTGTGGGTTGCGGACATACTGGAAAGGCTGCTTACAAAATGGAAGGTTCCTTTTCCTCCCACCATACCGAGATGGTTTGAACTTAGTGTGTTTTAGCTATTGAATGAATGAAATAGAATTACGTTCTGTTTCAAAATTCTGTAACATCTGGAATTAACTCTGTTCCAGGAACCACACAGTTTAACAGGGGAGACAGGCAAAGGGGAGGCCCTGAGTTCAGGTTTGGAGCAGACACCCGGGGGCCTGGAAGCAGGGCCTCAGGGCCCAGGCGACTGCCCAGGAGGCCAATGAGCATAGGCCCAGCAGCCCAGGCCTGAGGCCTTGTGAGGCTCCGCTGTGTCTCATGTCACTCTTGCTAGTTGCTTTTGCCTTCCCAGGTGATGGAAGGTACCAGAGTAGCAAAATAGAGGACACATGAGAACGGAATAACTAGTTGAAAATCAAAGTGTAAGAGCTAAAGGGAGTGTTTTCTGGTTGCCACACATTAAATTTTTTCATATAACTATATTGGCATAAAGAATAATTCCTGGGTGCATTCCATTTGTCCTTTGTTTCCTCCCTTGTATGATTATATGATTATTGATGTCATTAAAAGTGCATTCATCAGACCTGGCTGTCAGAGAGTTGCACTTATTTTGTGCCCACAAGCAGTTTTGAGGTAAATCTCTTGCTTTAGGGCATTAGTTGATCAATACAGACATCTACAGTGAGGTATTGTTTCCCACCTCCTGCATGACTCCATTTTCCTAAGACATTCTGGGGATCTGGTCTTCCTTTCAATAAGAAGTCACTCTAGATGGGATGGGGAGACCCAGGAGAAGGTACCCTACAAAAGAACATTTCTTCTGCAATCCCCTGCCTTTGCAGGAGGGGCAGCTGGTCCAGGGAGAGGCCTTGAAAAGAAATAAGCCAACTGCCTGTCACCCCCAGCTCTATAATTTCCTTCAGGGTAGTCTGTTTCCTTCCTGGGTTTTAGTCCGATCTCAAGTCCCATTTTTATCTTTGATATTTATAGGACCAACATTCTTGCAGTCCAAGGCCAAAACGTCCCCAGTATTGCCTCTAGTTACTTATAAGGAGAGAATCCGTCTCATTAAATTCTGTATTTTGAAGACTTAGCACTGATAACACACTTGGCAATGGTCAGTATTGCTGAACTGAACGCCTAAAATGTGAGTTTAATGGTTTCTCCTCTGTTAAAATTTCCTTCTTGCCCTCCTTTCCTTTCCCACCTTCTCCTCCCATTCAGCCACAACTCTCTGCTGTCTCAATCCGCTCTGGGTTCATTCAGACACACCAGGTATTCAATTTCATCTTCTTGGAGCCTGGTCTGCCAGAACCTTCTTTTAACACCAAACTGACCTGATGTTCCTCTGCACCCAGTAAATAAGGAGACCCAGGGAGCTCACCTCATCATCCTGGAGATTTCCTTTCCTTTCTGTTTCTTGAATCCCACGAAGCCCTTTGGTTTGGTTTATGCTCTCCCTTTGGTCTTCTAGTACTTTCCTGAGAAAGGGTGTACGGGAGGTACGTACTCGCAGGCTTTGCATTTTGAACATAACTTAAGTCTGTCCCCTTAGTTGTTTAAGATGTAGACTTCTACATTGGGAATTATTTTTCCTCAGAAGTTTGAAGGTGTCACTCTATTTTTCCTTACTGTCTTGCATTGCTGATGAGACTTATTACTGATCCTTTGTCTGTAACCTATTTTTTGTCTCTGGAAGCTTTTACAATCCTCTTTGTTCTTGGGGTCCTGAGACTTCACCATGATCGGAGTCGGCAGTCTGCTAACAGTCACGGTGCTGGCATGAGACCAGAACCCGAGCCACAGGCCCTGAGCTCTCACCATTTGGGTTCAAGTCCCCTGCCACCGTTCTCTAACTTTCTTACCTCAGGCAAGCTACTGAACCTCTGTGCCTCAGTTTCTTCACCTTAAAATGGTTTAAAAAGTAGTACCTACCTTGTAGGACTGTTGTGAGAATTCAGTGAGTTATTATCTATAAAATGCTAAAGCCAGTGCCTGCCGCTTAGAACTACTCCATAAGCAACAGTTTTTATTCATATTTCAAATACAAAAAATAAGTTTCCTCAACTTGTGCAACGTTTCCTTGACCCTGTGCCTTGAATAGAAATCTTGCCCTTGAGAGGGGGAGTGGCTGCACAGAGCGAGAGGGTCTGGATCTCAGATGTGAAATGAAATTTCAATAGGGCAAGTATGGTAAAGAACAAAGCGGATGCAAAAAAGCAAGAGGTGATTGTTATGGCTGCGGAAGCACCCCCAGACTCTGGATTCTCAGCTCAGGACTAGAGGAATAATGAGTAAAGAAAAAATAGAATCTCTAAAGAAATCTAGTCACCCCAAATTAGGACTCACATATGCTCCCTGAAAGGGTGTTTTCATTTTCTGATGCAAAAGGGACTATCAGGACAGAGATTCAGAATGAGAGTAAGAACAGGAACATCTGTGTCTTTATGAGTGAGAGATATCTGCTGATATAGAAAGGCATCGCCTAATTTCTGTACCAGGAAATCAAATAGATGTTGCCCTCCCGTCTAGGAACCTGAAATTTTAACATATAAAGAGTTACAAACTCACACGTAAAATCATCTATTAATAGGAATGGTAATTCAAGGTAACTAAAGAGCCCCAGTTAATGAGGGGAAGCTCTACCTTACCAAATAGTGCCAAATAATACATTTGGAATGAAAAAAAAAATTTAAATCATGATTTTGCACCACTCTTATGAAATAACCAATTCAAAGATCATTAACAGAAACTAAAACCACTAGTTGAAAGGGGATGGGAAAAGAGGTATGTACACAGTGCTAAAGTATTGTACATAGGATACTTACTACTTTACAGTGGAGGTCAACAGATGATCCCAGTAATTGAACAAACAGCACATCACTAATTGTGAGACATGCTAACATGTGGATCCCGACATAATGAATTTGAAAACATATCATCTATGAAATATACTTGCCAAAAATCATTACCCTGATTCTACTTAAACTTTTAATCTAAATTCCATCTTAGAGGACAGGCCACAGAGGAACCAGTTACAACGATACCGTGAGGAAAACATCAGGAGAGTCCAGAATGTGCCTTATCTTGGTCAAGGCAAAATCTAAAGAAATGGCAAGGAGACTGGTCTAGATTATAAGAGATCTGAGATATAACGATATGTAATGCATGATTCTTGATTAGATTTGGGTTGGAAAAGATATTTCGGGGATCACTGGAGAAATCTGAATATGGAATGAGCATTAGACATATTATGTAATCAGTGTTAATTCTGTTGGGTGTCATAATAGTACTGAAGCTATGTAAGAAAATGTTCTTACTGGGGGAAATGCATGCTAAGGCATTTAGGGGTGGGGTCTCATGACGTAATTTGAAATGATTCGGCTGGATGAACAGATACGAAGCAGATATGACAAAATGTTAATTACTCTTGAGTCAAGATGGAAGGTTTGTGGATAACCATTGCTTTATTCCACTTTTCTGTTTGGAAATTTTATATTAAGAAGTTTAGGGAATTGGCTTGCAGATGCAAAATTGTATAAACCTGGCCTGACAGTGTTTTGGGAGAAGGAGGCATGCAGGGCTCAAAGGGCCACATTTCCGTTGGGCACACTGGAAAGAGCTTTGCTCTTTTGAATTCCGCAGAGCAATGGCGTGAGACAATCATTCAATCCAGAATGTGAGAGTTTGGGAAGAATTAATGTACTTCCCAGAGTGCCCAAATTATTGTCAGGAATAATAACTCACTGGCAACATCACACTGAATAATTCATGGTACGAAAGCAATGGGAATGCTCACATGTGGTGGTTGTTAGTTGGAATTTCCCCCCAAATTAAGTCACTTAAAAATTCTCTCTTTTACCTAAGGTATTTTGGGGATGTATTTTCTTTTCTTTTCCTTTCTTCCTTCCTTCCTTCCTTCCTTTCTTTTTCTTTCTTTTTTTTTTTTTTTGTCAAGTCTTTCTCCCAAACAATGTGAGGTAATTGTCCTGTTCACTCAGGTACAAATGTAAAGTTAAAATGCAGAACTGCTTCCTACGATGCTAAACTGTTCTTTAAAATGTTGTTGCTTAAGAAGGGAGTTGACTGCTCTAACCGGTTCCTCTGTTTCCCACATGATCTCAGGGAGCTGGACTGTGCCATGTTACGCCGCCTGGAGAAGAGGATACTGGTTGATCTCCCCAGCCGGGAGGCCAGGCAGGCCATGATCCACCACTGGCTGCCCCCTGTGAGCAAGAGCAGAGCCCTGGAGCTGCGCACGGAGCTGGATTACAGTGTGCTGAGCCGGGTAAGCTGCCTGGAGGGCGCACCTGCAGGCCAAGCAGCTGCCGCTTGAATCTTCTGAGCAGGGCTCTTGTGAGCTGGTTTGGGGCATAGTCCTGGAGCCACCTAGAAAAGACTCGAGCTGCCCCAGCAATGCAATGCACCTCTCCTTCGTAAGTGAGCTCTCTGTTCCTCAGAAACATTCAAGCAAGACAAATAGTGTGATGTAGAGGAAACAGCATAGGGTTTTGACTCAGAGAACTATGTTCACATCCTGGTCTTGCCCCTTATTAGCCGTGAGGTCTCAGGAAAACCACTTTCTCAGCCTGTTTTCTCATCTGCGCAATGGGTAACTGATACGCCACGAAGGATTACTGTGATGATTCAAGTCTTTCACACATGGAAATGGGGGTACATGTCTGCTCCCCTCACTGTCACTGGTGTCACTCACTGCCTCCTCTGAGTGGACCCTGGAACAAACATATCCTCTGGTCATCTGCATGATGTTCTGTGAGGTTCCTCAAAGGCAGGTATTATCTTATTCACAAGAACAAAAGTGTCTACCAAATTTGGTCATGCTTGGATGTGGGCACAGGGGCCCCATTAGGCTACCGTGGATAGTCCAGTCTTTCACCAGCACCTTCCAGCGTGGATCTGGATGGGGTCAGGAAGCTGTTTATGCTCCAGCTTCTCAGGTCACCAAACACATAAGCAGCCCCAGACATTACAGATAGGGTGTTTGTGGCGGACGGACACAGGTTCTAAACAGGGCCTCTTTTTATTTATTTAAGTTCAGTTAGCCAACATACAGTACATCACTCGTTTCTGACATAGCATTCAATGATTCATTGCTCGTGTACCGCGTCTTGCCTGTGAGAGCGTAATCACCACCGGCACTGCGCCTGCTGACCCACGGCTGCTCCGCGGCTGTTTCAGGAGACGGAGGGCTACTCGGGCTCAGACATTAAGCTCGTCTGCAGGGAAGCAGCCATGCGGCCTGTGAGGAAGATCTTCAGTGCCCTTGAAAATCACCAGTCAGGTATGGTTGGGATCACAGTGGGGGTGCTCTGGGAGAGAAAGCTCTTTAAAAACCCAACTTCCACCAGCAGATGGAGCCTTGCTCCTGTTCTTGGTTGCTCTTTGCGCTTGCAAACGTTCTTTGGTCCAACTGCCCTCTGCGTACTCAACTCCTTTCTCCTCCGGTGTTGTTTTTGGATCGACTTCACCCCAGCTGATCAACTCCTTAAGGCTCAGGCTTTTATTCTTTGGCACACTATGATGTGGGCGGGATCCATCTGCTGCACTGTGTTACTCTTAAACACTGCTTTGATAGGGAGACATTTAAGTCATATTTTTTATCGGGCTTCAGGGGCTGAGTTGCACATTAAAGAATTCCTTCCCCAGCTCTCTTTAGTCTTGCCTTTTGCTGCATTAACGATTAAGAATGCTGCATTATGCACTGTCTTGAAAAAAGGTCTATTAGCATTTCAAGAGCGCTGATCCCGGTAAGGTCAATTACTGTGCTGTTGTGTTTTGATCCAGAGAGCAGCAATTTACCTGGAATCCAGCTGGATACAGTGACCACTGCTGACTTCTTAGATGTGCTAGCTCACACCAAGCCTTCAGCAAAGAATCTGACTCAGAGATACTCAGCCTGGCAAAGTCAGTTCGAGTCTGTATGAAATCACACCGACCCTGACCGGGCCACAGAGAGCACCACGGAGGCCTTGCCATTTATTAGTGTAAGCGGGAGAAGAACATGATGGTTGGGAGAGAAAAGAAAAAATTATACTTGAAGACTGAGTTCATTTGAACAACTCGACTGTTTTGGAAATGAGAGATATTTTTGTTAATCTTTCCTGCCTGATGCCAGCAGAAATGGAAGATGTCAGTTACAGGTATATAGGCTATTAGTCGCGCAATGCAGACTTCTCCCCCTTCCACTGAGACTCCCTACACTTTGATGAACGATTTCTTGCGGTGTTCCGCGTTTGTGAATTGGCATTTTCATTCTGAAGAAAAAGATGTAGTGTTGGAAGCTGTGCTGGAATGCACAGTGCTTCCAAGTCGGGGGGGCCCCTTGGAAGCGAAGCGTGACAGACCATCTGGCCAGGTGACGGGCTTGAGGGGGGTTAAGAATGGGTGCAGGGAAGGACACATGGTGTTTCTTTCTGAGGACGTCCTGAGTGTCATCAGCTCTCCCTAACTCTGACCCCGACCAGTATGAGCAGTATCAGCAGCAAAGCCCCAGCAGACTAGCTCCCCGACAGGGGTCTGGGGGAGGGGCTTCGGGAGCCTCAAGCCACCAGCTCCCGGTCCTAGCATCATCCGACTCTTCACGTGTGCTCCGCCCTCTCCTGATGGCCACAGCTCCTCAGTGGATCGAAAGCTTAGGGAAGGGAGGCCCCAGGGCAGTCCTCCTGGGGCTTCCCTTCCCTTAGGCTCCCCTGCATCTCCTTATGGGGTTGTTAACAGAAGCAGTTTCTTCAGAAACTCATGATCTGGGCCACCTACTTTAAACCCTTGAAAAATGCCACTAAGTGATGCCGCCACCCCTCTTCCCCACTAGACCTTACCCGTGGTTGTCCCTTCCTTCTTCCCTTACCCACCTCATTTTCTTCATCCCTCTGCAAGGCACACTCCTCCCTGAAGAAAAACTTGCAGGAAAAGGGGTATTTTGGATAGCTAAACATTCCAAAGGACTTTATCCTAATTTTAAACAAAAACAAAGCATTTGGGGGGTACTGATTATTTTGAGAATATTCTTAAATGCCTTTTAAAATGCCATTTCATGGGTAATGTAGTCAAACAGAAAATACACCATATATAACAAATTAAAAATAAGAAAGACATTTCATCTTAGTATATGCTCAACTTAAGCTTCTTCATGATCCTGAAAGTCTTATAATATCCAACACCAGCATGACCCTAGATGTAGACATCTCTAAATGGTCTCAGACATCTGCTTCCCGTGTTTGGGGGTCATTTTTTCCTTCCTCCCTCCCTCCCTTTCTTTTCTTCCTTTTCCTTCTTTTCTTCCCTTCCTTTTCTTTCTTTCCTTCCTTTTTCCTTTCCCCTTTTCCTTTTCTTTTCTCCCCTCCCTTTTTCTTTTTAAAGATTTGTTTATATGACAGAGAGAGATCACAAGTAGGCAGAGGCAGGCAGAGAGAGAGAGGAGGAAACAGCTCCCTGCTGAGCAGAGAGCCCAATGTGGGGCTCGATCCCAGAACCCTGGGATCATGACCCGAGCCGAAGGCAGAGGCTTTAACCCACTGAGCCACCCAGGTGCCCTTTCCTTCCCTTTTCATTTTTTCTTTCCTTCCCTTCTTTCCTTCCTTTCCCTTCCCTCTTTCCTTCCTTTCCTCTTTTCTTTCCTTCCTTTACTTTCTCTTTCCTTTCTTTTCTTCCTCCCTCTTTCTGTTCTTTTTAAAGATTTTATTTGACAGAGAGAGAGAAGCACAAGCAGGGGGAATGGCAGGCAGAGGGAGAAGCAGGTTCCCCGCTAAGCAGGAAGCCCGATGCAGGACTCGATCTCAGAACCCTGGGATAGTGACCTGAGCTGAAGGCAGTTGCTTAGCCAACTGAACCAGTTGGCACTGAAGGCTAAGCAACTGCCTTCAGCTCAGGTCACTATCCCAGGGTCATTTTGTCAGGTTGTTAGTGGGTATTTCTTGCTGCCATTAGTCCATCCACTTGTGGCCACTACCATCCTTTCTGATTTCATAAAATCTCAATTGGATGGAACCTCAATTGTTGTTGCTAACTTGTTGTGATTAGAAGTAGGTATGTTTGTGTGTGTGTACTTGAAAGTGAACAGGTAAAGGGGCAACGGAGACAGCCCCTATGGATAAAAGCTTTGTGACAATGTTTGGCCCCTTTTAGCTTACTGCTCTTTCCTTACTCCAGTCAGCGTAAGCGTGGTTTTGCCATCCCTCACGGCAAATACACACAACCCCACACACAGCTGACTATGTACCTGACACACCCCCACATCCTTCCTCCATTCCTCTTGACAATCTCCAAGTTCATCTTCGTAATACTTCCGTCTACTTCAATTGCATATTCAGTCCTCCTCTTTCCCTTGGAAAATATGTCTCCAAATAATAACTCAAGTATGTTTGTGAGTCATGCTGTATTTCATTGACTCCTCTATCCATTTTATACACTATCTAATGACTTCCTGCTTTGGATGAAATGAAATGTAGCTATTTCATCCCTCTGCTGTGTTTCCATCATCGCCAAATAGTTATGATTTTACGTTTACTCAATAATCGGTGTTTCTGTGGGAATGTGTACTGTTCACGCAGAGCCCCTAGTGAATCAAAATTACAATTAATTTATATGTTGGTTTTGTCTTCCCAGGAATTAATAAGTGCCTTGCCAATATCAGATAGACTGTCAATTGCATTCCCGTATCGTCTGGTCCTGGTGTTTTAAGGGGAAAGGAACCAAGAACCTTGATAGAATAAGCACAGATGTACCTAGCCCCCATGTGCAGCCCTGTAGCTCATCCTGGCTCGCTACCACGCCCGTTGTCCCCAAGGCCTTCACTTTCATGTTTCCTGGGACTTCAACCATTTTGTTTACCAGCTTCAAATCTCAATCCTACCTCACACCTCACCTCTCTCTACCTAGTCTCCAAGACTTCAATCTTTGAGTTTCTACAGGATGAGTTTTGGTTGTCTTTCTTTGCATGGATTTTTGTTCTCAACAACCTATCCATGTTCCATCCTTCAAATTATTGTACCCTCTCATCCACTTGTGCCCATCTCTCCTCTTGTGGGCTCTCCTTGTGAGTTTATACCTTCTTTATTCCTTTACTTTGATTTTAGTGGGGCTCTGAGAAAGAGAGACCAACCAAGACATATGATTAGTTTATGTTTAGAGCCTCTATTATTTAAAAAGTAGATCAGAAGTACATCTAAGTTTATAGGGATATAGGAACCTGGCCTATTTTCAGAGGAAAATGTAACTTCATCCAACATGTGGTACACTTTCTCCTAAAGCAGAAGTCACAATGCCTGTAGGAACACAGGTAAGTAAGCTGGGTGTAGGACAAGGAAGAGGAGGGGCTATGATGGAGGGTGAGACTACCTGAACGACACAGCAGTGGTGCAGCTCCCACAACTTAGACACTGGGACCCAACACTGCTGATCTTTCAGTCTTCCTAGGAAAACTTGTAGTAACTGATCTGCATTTGAGATCTCCTGATACCCAGATGTTGGCCACTAAGGCTAAGTATCTACATTAGGATTCACGGCCTGTCCCTGCATTTCATTCAGGTCATCATCAAAAGCCTGGTGGACTTCTACTTACCTACTGGACTGGAATCTACTTATCTAAAATAAGGCCCTCCCTCGTTTCTCGTCCTTCATGGAGCCATACAGCTATTGTGTTACACAGTTGTGTGTATGTTTTATCGTCTTGCGCCCAAAATGTTAGCCCCAGGGCTGTGGTACTTTTATCACTGCCAGTGAATGAAGCTAACATTCTTTACAATGGAGCGCTGTGTCTGCTTCCCATGCAAGAAGCTGTGATGACTGTTCCAAAGCACTTAGTTCATTGCACTCGACCTCTTCTCTGAGAGCACTTACACGACACACCTTTTACTTTACCCATAGTTGGTATTTCATAATTTGGTTTTCTCGGGCACACAAGCTGGTGAAACAAACAGGAGTTGAGATGGGTAGGACGTGAAGGTAGGCACTGAAAAGAGTAAGATATTCAAAATTGCTGGATTTTAACAGATACATAACTTAAATGATAAATGATTTCTGGTGCTCTGGTGTCTTGTTTGGTTGTCCCTTAGAGAGAGCAGCATGCTGTGGGGGTAGTCGGCCTTGATGGCTGACATGACAAAGTCAGAAAAGGTCCTATGCATTTATGCCGAAGGAAAGTTTTTGGGACTACGTCAAAGGAACCTGGTAACACAAAAGTGGCTTTACGCATGCAACCGCTGATATGAGAAAGGGATTCTGCTGTTCTAGGCAAAGTGTTTCGGTGAAAGAGACCAGTGCACTTTAAAAAATTCCTTACTGTAGATGCCCAAGGATTTCAGTTTCATCCTACGTGAACCACCACTGATCTCAAAGCAGATGAACACAACACATACAGGTGTGTTTCTGACTTCCTGGTCCAACGTGGTACAGTAATTTTTGAACGTGGGGTTGAGAGTGAGGTGATGACACTGTCCTTCCAAGGGAGTTTCTGACACCCATGGCTACAAGTGCTCAATGGCCCCGATCAGCTCCAACAGATGCAGTACGGTAGGCAGAATAGCTATAGCAAAACAAGCCAGTTTTGGAGGGAGGAGAGTGCAGCAGTGGGACAGCCATCGGTCTCTACCACTGGACTGGTGTTCCACCTTCTTCCACACCCAGCACACACCTGGCTTCTGGCAGATGCTCAGTAATCTTCTCCTGACACTGTTCCTTACTACCCTTTCTAGTCCCAAAATGGCACTTGGTCCCTTTTCTGGGCCTAGGAGAGGATTATAGTAAAACTGATGCAAACACTGTCCTCAAGGTCATACCATTGGAAGAAAGCCCTTTAAATGGGATGGCTGGAAAAACGAAGTCTTTTGGGGACTTCAGTTATTAAATCTCCTCCATGAGGCCACAGCAGACCAACCAGCTATGCTGGGAATGTTTATAGTAACCTGGATCTAAAACCAGATTTTCATTTATCCTCATGAACCTCACTGTGGACAGGTCAGTTAACAAGCCCTATATAATGCTTGTTAAATAAAACAAGAAACAAAGATTTTAATGGCCCAATACGGCCAAACTAGAATGCAGGAAAGAAGCCATTTCTCTTGGCCCGGGACCTTATGCTCACGTGGTCTTACCTCTTCCTGCCCCTGTTTGACTCCTGACACATGAGTGATGTCTACTTCTTTGCTTTAGCTCTAACCTGTCTCTAAAGCATCAGATCCATTATTTCTGAGTGTCTAATGGGGCCTCCCCTATGGGTAACCAGTCTTCTCCTCCCTACTCCCAGTT